AACATACCAACAATTATTACACAAGGTGTCTCATAACAATTGTTACAAAACTTGTGGAGACATAGAGTGGGTTAAGACAAACGTAGAAGTCCCATATCATTTTGCGAGATTGGTAATAATTATCGAATTATTAATGACAGAAATCTGAAGGGTAGACACGCGCTGACATAGATGATTGGAAAAGCGTTACAGTCGCTCGGGCCCAGTCGATCCAGAACCACAGAATCCTCTGTTGCCGGTGCGTGGCGAGGGGAAGGACAACGCGCCGCTTTTTGTGTTTTATCTCTCCGTACGCCGCCAATAGTTATTAGACTGGGCCGCGCTGTGACTCGAGAGGTTGTGACGCTTGTCTAATCATCCATCTCGGCGCACGTTCATTCATCAGATTTCTGTAATTAATAACTCGATAATTATCGCGAATATCGCAAAACGGTATTTTTATGGGAGGATGGGCAAACGGAACTTTTATGTTTGTCTTAACCCGTTCTATACAAGCTCTGCAACAATTGTTATGAGACATCCTGTATATTAGATGTTTAGTAAGTTAGTGGTTTTGACAAGAAATAGCGTTCCAAGCAAACGTCTAATTTTATTTTTGACATTTGTCATCTTATTTGTGTACACACAAAATTTCAAGTAGATCTGTCAAATAGAAATTTTTTAACAGCGTTCGGAAGCAGATAAGTTTGTATTTCTTTGCTATAATTGAAAAAATGAATTCCATGTGCTGATAAAGCACTACATTTTGCGTGGGAAAACTATTAAGAAAACTAAAGAAAAGCTGAAAAAGTATTGTGTTTATACTGCGTATAAGTTTATATTGCGTTTCTAATCGATTCATATTTTTGCAGAAGCGATCTTTTGTAGAAACATGGATGAAATATAGTATATAAGACTTTTAAATATTCCATATCGTTCTTTCTAATGTCCTGTTTCTATCGAATTTTTCAACGTAAGAAAACAATTAAGAATTATGCGAAACCAGAAAATATGTTGTATTATTTATCTCTTTATTCTCATTTAATTTATTCTGCTTAACTTCGTAATATTTATTTCTCAGTTTCACTTTTTTAAACATTTTTTTTTTAATTCAATGAGGCTCGACTCCTATCGATAAACGGTCGATATACTGTCACAACAATCACGGTACAAAATTAATTGCACTTGTCATAACTGGGAGCATGGTTCAAATGTCATGATCAACAAAGTCAACGAGTGACTTTTTCGGCAACCTTTTTTTTTTATCACGGTGGGGAAATCCTCATAGATACCCCCGTCCCTTCGGGAGGAGGCAGGGGTTATGCCGGACTCTTAGCGGCTGAAACCCCACCAGGGTATCTTCCAGGCGGAGTGTGGGGAGTCGGGGAAACTGCGCCTGCACTCTCTCCCCGACATTTTCGGCAACCTCTACTTTATCGTCCGAATAAGGACAAGCAACTTGTTATACTTTTTTTTTTATCTCCGTGGGTGGACCGCCCCACCCCATGGCCCATTTGGACCCTCCGCCTGGCGCTGCGCATTGCAAGGCCACGGTACGCGGCGCCAGCAACTTGTCATACTGACTTATATGTGATGTTATACTCTGTACAGTTCCTTGCATAGATACTGACTAATCGTCGGCGTTAGGAATGAAAGGATTAAAAAATTCAAAGTGACTTTTTTTTTATAACGGTGGAGAAATCCTCATAGATATCCCCGCCCCTTTGGGAGGGCGGGGGTTATGCTGGACTCTTACCGGCTAAAACCCCACCGGGGTATCTATCGATCGGGCCGTGATGAGGGGAGTCAGGGGAACTACACCTGCATTCCCTCTCCAACACCCTAGCCCTAGGGCTCTGACCGAGAGCCCCACGCCCGACTACCGCGCCCTTCCCACAAAGGGAGTCGGGGCGCGGTACCCCGGCTGGGTAACCGACCTTGTTAATTGGCCTTCCGGTTACAATTAAGGAGAGCGGGGATACCCATCCTCTCTCCTGGCCCTCCTCCTTTCCTGAGGGGGAGGGGTTGGGGAGTGCGGCTCGTCCCAAAACAAGCCTCCACTCCCCTTTACCAACCCTTACCGACGCGCAGGGGAGCCCGTCGCCCTCCCCCGCGCGTACGGAGCCGGGCCCGAGGCGGCCGAGGAGGTCCCCGACGAATCGGGAGCGGCTCCTCGGCCGGCGCCACTTTGGACCCACTGCCCAACCCCGGCCGCTCCCTGCGGCGGCGGCCTGGTCGACGCTTCCATTCGGCGGTCTCCTTCTGGGACATAATGTCTTTGTAGAAGGAGACCGCCGCCCCCCACGCCTCCTCCTTCCGCACATGGCCTGGACCATGCGCGGGAGCGAGAGGGCCTCCACCCGGCACTCCACTGCCCGGGCGAGGACACGGTGTTGTCGGGTCCATGTCCCGCATGAACCCAACGTGTGTTCCGCCGTGTCCTCGTTCGCCCGGCAGTGGTGGCGTCCGGTGGTGGGTTCCTTTCCGATCCGGTGCAGGTACCGACCGAAGCACCCATGCCCGGTCAGCATCTGCACCAGATGAAAAGTGAGTCCACGCCCCCTCCTGTCCGCCACCTCGGGCAGACAGGGACGGACAGCCTCGGCCGTTCGGAGCCCGAATCCGGAGGAGTCAGCCAAGATGGCCGACCATCGCTCCATGGTCCGGGCTCTGGCACAGTATAAGTATACACAGTATTGACACTGAGCGTCGGCATTTTTGATGTAGTGGGTCCCTGGTCACATGACTCGCCGCCATGTTAAAGGTAGGACAGGCGCTTAAATTAGAGTTTCGTTAACATATAAAATGATTTATTTTCTAATAAACAGTTTACTGTTCAGTATCATAGGCTGTATTCCGATATTTACAACTAATATTGAAAATCTATAGAATACGTAACATAAACTATAGATTTTTAATACTGGTGAATATGGTGAATATTAGAACACATTTTATATGGAATATAAAATATACATACACTTCATTAGAAAAACATTTTATTGTATTAATATATAATTGTATAAATATATCGATCTGTTTGATATTTCGTTAACTTTTTGATAGCATTCGTATATATCTGGATCATAAAATTAGTCCATTCATAACAAAAAAAGTGAAACATGACTAGATATATACAGGATGTTGTTAATTAACGCCCACCATTTACACATTATTTATAATGTTATTCTTAATTGAAAATTGAATCGACAAATTCTGAGCTATTTTGTCGATAGACGTTATAATTTATGATTTTCCATATTTCAACATAACATTTTTATAATTAAGCTCTAAATAGCAATTTTGTTATAGTAGAATTCGATTGAAATTAATTCAAGAAATTGTTTTGTTATCCGTTTGGTTGACCAAAGCATTGTTTGCGAAAAGCTTAGCTTTTTTGATCGCATATGTCTCGTAAACTACTAACGACTTAATATTTTCGTCCAGTAATTTTAAAATAAATTTTTAATGAATAATAACACTGTGAAAATAACGAGCGTTGACAAATATTCTGTATAGATTATCACTTTTCCTCTGTTTATGAAAGTATTTTCTCAAAATCAGCAACTGAAACAACAATAAAATATTAGGCAACAATTATTGCAACATAATTATAAATTTACTTTTATTATAGTTTCATAAAATAAGAATAACAATATAATATATATTAATAACATTTTAATAATATATATTAATGAACACAAAGTATCTTATATCTATAATAATAAACACAAAATATCTGTCAGTCATGACGCAAAATAACCATTTTTTTACGACCGTATTGTGACTTAAATCGCCTATTAATAAATTTTAAAGTATAATATAGTCGAACTCTAGCATAAAGTTTTATTAAATAATCTTTTGGAAAAGATGGACAAGGAGGAATAAATTCAACTTGCCTAAAAAGTCGAATCAATTTATTTACGATAAATAGTTGCAAAATATATTCTTTAATTTTCTTAAAAAATATGTCCTCCAAAGTTGTAATATATTCAATAAAATTATTGTTTAGCATACATAAATTACCAAAAAGGTTATCATTAGTAGCATTATACGCTCTAAAGAAACAATAGTATGAGGTATCATTTAAATGTACATATTCTTTGCTGTAATTTAAACGCAAATCGCATGAATGTATTTTTAAACATTTACGAATAAGGTAGCCATAAATGTATCGCAACGCATCTTGTTCGTTAATATCCATTTGACGATAATCATGATTATCTAGACGTACAGATACACATTCACTTTCGTCTACTTCATTTTCAACAATATTCGTATATTGCGTTCCAAAATTTACCATAGCCGTTAACATTTCATCATTATCTTGTTGACAATTCCCCGTTCTTGGCACACAGTAATTTACAGAAAACAGTTTTTGAAAAGAGTAATAAAATTGGATAGGTGTTGGATTAAAAGCGTTACCATTCATAATTCTGATTTTACCAAAGAAATTCTACAATGAGTCTTGATTAAAACGACGCATTAACAAAAATTTTATATCCGTGGCAGTAACACATAAGTAACCCACATAAGTCCCACATCTTTAAAAAGGAATTTATGTTTTGACACCAATATTTAAATACTTTTACTTTTTTCGAAATATTAACTCCTTGTTTTATAAATATTGTTAATTCACTTAGATATTTTTTCATTTTTGACAAAAATTCGATTTGATAATCCTGACCACTGAAAGCTTGTCTATATTTTATCTTGTAAAAAACTGTAAATGAGTTGAACATGTCAAATAAATCATTCATGTTTTGAACAAAATTAACTGTAATAAGGGCTTCATATAAAATATTACAAGACATTACTAGTTTATTTAAAGCAGCAGCTACTGTTCCACTCAAAACTTGCGTTGCATAGCGAACTTTCATTCTTTGAAAATTAGTAGACATAATATGTATATCTGTTAGTTTGGGTGCTAATCTATTTTCGTTATTTTGTTCTATATCGTATAGTTCTTTAATGTACTTCCATAAAATAAATTTTCCGTTATCTTTAATATTATTTTTCAGAAAATTATTACGACTAGCTTTCAAAGTATGTGGTGGATCAATGAAATAAGCTATTTGTTGATTATTAACAACAAAAAATGGTGACTCTGTTGTAACATTTAATGCTTGTACTACATTAATGAAATTTTGTCCCATATTACTTACAAAAGCAATAACTATATATCCAAGTTCTTGCAAATTTTTTATACTTTGCGTTATAATATCTTTTAATTTAGTAGCATGAAATGTGGAATTTAGAAAAAAATATCCTATAGGTTGTTTCCAATTCGTGCACATACCTCTAAGCATTAAAACTGCAACGTTATATGCTGGCAATACCGATTTTCTTTCATCCCAATCTTCAAAACCATATACCGTATCTTGATTAATATTATAAAATAAATGTGCTTTTAATGCAGCTTTATCCACAATGTACAATATTTATCAAGATTAGTTTTAAAAGTAGATACTTTAGCTTTTAAAATGTCAAAAACATTATTTTGCAACCCGGGAAAAATTTTTAAATTTTCGATCATACGTTGTAAAGTTCTTGTACTAGGCAAACAGAACTGTTTTGATAAAACTTCATAGGTTTTACGTCCACTGAGGTATAAAGTAAAACACATTTTTTTAATTCCAAAGAAAATTTCCTACCCTTTGGCGACTTTTGAGCCAGGTGTACTTGTGCTTTCACAAACGGCGCAATAATTGGTGGCAATATTTGATCTGTTGCATCACAATATTCTGGTAAAGAGAGCTTCTTAATCTTTTTTGTATAATTTGCTTCCTGTTGTTTTAATTGTTTCTTAACTTTCCGTAATTTTTTTTGTAATAAATGAATTTTCTTTTTCAATATCTTCTTTCGGGGTGAATTAATAGATAATGTGGAATCAGTTTGTATTTTCTCATCTTGTGTAACAGATAGTTGTTCAGTTTGTACTTCCTGATCCTTTCGATTATCTTCATCCATAACGTTTATATCCTGCTCTACAATTTCAATTAACAATTGGATTATTTAATAACATGTAGTTGTTAATATTAACTTAGAGTACTAAAAAGAATAGTCGACAAAAATAAAAAAAGATTCTATATTATCGTAGTTCGGCTTACCTTTACATGAAAAAGATATGTGATTGTCAGAATCTAATAAAAAGTCATGCTCTGACTGATCTCTTTGTTGATTCGTTGGTTTTTCTATTTGTCGACCTGTACATGTATTGACTGACTTTATTTGTAGATTCATTGGTTTTGGAATTGCGTATGGTTGGAGGCGATTTTTTAAATCATTTAAAAACATTGTAGAATCAAAATGATTTCCACAGATCCGGTATGTTTTATATAAGTCCTCTATTGGAACTTTAATTGTACGCCTGCAATTCCTTAACCATAATCTACATCTGAGAAATTGAAATATATACATATATAAGTTAGACTTTTAGGCAATTCCAAAACAAATATGTAAAATTAATAAAAAATTATTATTTTTACCTTTCTACATCCTTTGGGAAACGAAAAAAGCTTAACCCAGATATTCGTCTTGAAATATTCGGGCATTTATACATGGCACAACTATGCCCACCTCGAATCATTTTGTTGATATTTTGTAACAATTTCTTTTATTTGTACCTAAGACCTATTTCTTTTATTTGTATGTGATGTACCTTTTATTGGTACATCACATACAAATAAAAATATGTATATCAAACATTTAACCTAAATACGTCATCTATGGCGGCTGCTATGTTCCTGGTAGGATAGAGCGACGCATGTGCACTGGAAAATGAATACCACTAAAAAAGTTCAGTGTCAATACTGTGTATACTTCTACTGTGGCTCTGGCCTGAGACTTCAAGGTCGCCAGGCCCCTGGCCGTTAATCCCTCTCCCTCCTCGCGGAGCTCGCGCACTATCCAATAGAGGGTGCACCGCTCTTGTGCGAGGAGCTCCACGGGGGGGAGGGGGAGCCGGCCAGGGTGAATTCAAAGTGACTGGCTTGATCTTGAAGATGCCATCCAAAGTTATACCGATAAAGCTAATAAAGAGATATTTCTTAACTCTATAATTTTTATTTGAAATATTTTTTTTTATAAAATTTATATTTTTTTCGAAATATTTCGGGCTCCTAATTTTTTTATACACTTTTATATGTGTATATAATAAATAGCAAACTTAGAATTTAATGTAAATAGTGCAAATATTGATTTATACTCCTTTATTGCATTATTTTAATTATGTTCATAAAATATTTTGGACTATAAGGCTATATTTTATTATATTATAAGTTTGCTAATTAATTCGCTAATATTTTCATTCTTTTTAACTTTATTATTATTGTATCTAATCTAAATTTCAATATCTATATGTACCAGGTGTGTCGGTAATTCCTTTCCGGTGTTTTCGCTAAAGAAAACACGTTATTTACAATGGATAGTTAAAATATATTTATTCAAAGTATTGGCCATTTAATTCTATACATTTTGCCCATCTCTCAGGCAATTTATGGATGCCATTCCAAAAGAACTGTTTCTCCTTTGAGCTAAACCATTCATCGAGCCATTTTTTAACTTCTTCGAAATCGGCGAAATACTGCTCTGCAAGCGCGTGCCCCATCGATGCGAAAAGGTGGTAGTCGGATGGAACCAGGTCTGGAGAATACGGCGGATGCGATAAAAATTCCCATCCAAATGATTTCAATACTTCTTTGACTGGTTTTGCTGTATGAGACGGCGCGTTGTCATGCTGCAAAATCACCTTATCATGTCTTTGAGCGTATTGTGGACGTTTTTCGATCAATGCACAGTTCAAATTGATCATTTGTTGTGGCGTTGTAGCGATCAGTATTAACTGTTTCTCCAGGTTTCAACAGTTCATAATATACGACACCAACCTGGTCCCACCAGACACAGAGCATGGTCTTGCGACCAAAGCGATTTGGCCTTGCAGTCGATGGGCTGCCTTCGCCAGGTGATAACCATGATTTTTTTCGCTTGGGATTTTCGAAATAAATCCATTTTTCATCATCCGTTACTATTCGATGCAGAAATGACTTCCTTTCATACCTTTGAAGCAGCATTTCACTGACGATTTTTCGATTTTCCAATTGCCTGTCATTCAATTCATGTGGCACCCATCTTCTCATCTTTTGGATCTTTCCCATCGCTTGTAATCGTTCACAAATTGCTACTCGGCTCACATTCAACTTTTCTGCCAATTGTTTTTGAGTTTGTGTTGGGTCTTCATCCAATAACTCCTGCAATTCCGCATCTTCAAACGTTTTCGGCCTACCAGGACGTTTTTTGTCTTGAACGTTGAAATCACCACATTTGAATTGTCGAAACCACGTTTCACATGTTCTTATGGTTGGAGCATGCTCACCATAAGTCTCTACCAGCAAACGATGACTTTCAGCGGCTTTTTTCTTTTGATTAAACAAGAAAAGTAATACGTGCCGCAAATGCACGTTTTCAGGCACAAAACTCGATATTTTCAAAAAATTATTAATCTATAACGCTGTTATTTTGGCGGAACGTAACTTGTGTAGTTTTGAGGTTAATGTCAATAGAATAAAATGACATATGTATCAAATCATAACATTGCATACTTATGGCTAGTGACATCTGTTACAAAAACCGGAAAGTAATTATCGACATACCTGGTACACGGTATATATTTACATATACAGCATTATTGACATACAACTATTTGTAATGTTACTTTTTTAAAATTAATTATTTGATACACAAAGAATACTTTTCATTTCAGACAGATGCGCACATTTACCTAATATTACGTTATGAAAGCTATAGACAAGTGTGCAAATATGATAAACTAGAAAGTACCCAAAAATAATATTTATGTATTAATAGAAAATGCTAATACATGCAATATTGTTATTAAATTTTTAACAAAATAATTTCGGTGTTTAGTTCCCGATTGAAACCATTTTACAAACAAGGGTTGCGATATTTCTATTGCGCATATGATTGTATTCAACTTATCATTAATTGACATTTTATTTATATACTTAGCATTTCGGCTTAATAGTAGCATGTGTTGCGACGCGATTTCCTTTCGCCGTCGGCAAATTGCCGTCGGCCCACGCGCCCCGGCCGCTCGCACTCGCACCAAAGTTGTTGGGCGCCAGGTGCAGCAGGCTGCACCGATCACCAACGCGAAACGAAAAACCACCAAATGGCCGAGACACGCGAATCCGACGGGACCGGCAGCTCCTCGATATTTTAAGTCGGTAGACGGGAGGGTTCGATCGGGAATCCGGGAAGTTATTGGGAAAATGCAAAAGTAGTACTGCGCGTTTGGATTATCTTACTTTTATTTCACGGGAATCGGTACGGTCCGACCCCTCGATACGATACACTCCGCTGTGTGCTCTCGCGAATTCGAAACTTGCTCTGCGCTGACAAATAGTCCGAGACACGGTACGCACGGGACACCGAAAGAGAAAATCAGGGGGACGGTCTTACACAGTCGGGAACCTCCCGGCGGCGTGGTTCTTCGACCTCCTTCCTCCGCTCGCTCCTACGCAACGCAGCCACCAACGGTAATCCTCGGCGAGTGTGGCACAAACTTAAGCTCTCGATAACGGTAGACGACAACTTTTTTCACAGTGATATGCGATAGTAGTAGAAGCGATAACGATCCGTAATAGTCGACAGCAGACTGACTATGGAAGAGAGAGCGAAAACGGTAGTTCGCTCTTTTATTTCCTCCAAAAACAGTGTCTCTCCTTTCTTCCTTGTTTTGTCTCGAGGCTCTTCTCTCCCCGTTCTTCGTTTTCTCTCCCAATACGGGAATCCTTCAGCGGATCTTTGTTTTCGATCCGCGGGACGGATGCTCGGTCTCACTCTCGCGCGTTCTCTCCCTCTCTCGCGCTCCCGCTGTCTTTGCGCGCGCCTAGGCCGGCTTTGTCTCGTACGCGGTCACGCTTCGAGCACAGGAGCGACAATACATTCGCTTGATTTTTCTACGGGCCTGTGGACAACGGAAACGGCAGCGAGAATCTTTTGAGGCGATACGGGAGTCGGTAATAAGAAAGATAAGAAGGGGCATTCACCTGAGGTGGCTGTCCGGGCGATGAGTGACGTCCTCTTCTTCCTCCTGGCTCCTCCGGTCTTGATGGTCGGCGCAGGAGCTCCAGGGGCACAAAGCTCGGGGACGCGGGACCGTCACACCTGCGCACTCTTATCACTAACAATAATGGCTAATTACAGTTTCGGGGGAGGGTCCTTTGCAATTCGCGCAACCGTTAGGACCTTTTCCCCCCCCCCCCCGCCTCGCGGTATAGGACTCGCCATCTTGTGACGGGCGCCTTCGCGGCTGCCACGTCACAGTGTTAACACATAATACATTGTACAAAAAATTGATATACACAATTCCTTCTTTTCCTTTTCACATTTATATAAAGCAATTTTTTTTTTTTTTAGTTAATGGATATAATAAACCAGTGCCCAGAAAAGGTAGGCCTTCTTTACCAACTCCAACAGAATATCTTTGTCTGGTTCGAGCGTCCCTGCGCTCCAAGAAAATTTCTACTATTGTAAGTATTAATCTGTTATACAGGGTGTCCGGTAATTAGTTGCCAACCCGAAATGTGAAGGTAGGTCGGGTTAAGCTGAAAAGAAAAGTAAAATACAATTTTGCAAGAATCGCAATAATTATCGAATTATTAATGGCAAATCTGTGGAGTGGGAGCGCACTGACATAGATGATTGGAGAAGCGTTGCAGCCGCTCGGGCCACAGCGCGGCCCAGTCGATCCAGAAACTGTTGTCGGTGCGCGACGAGGGAAAAAACAACACGTCGCTATCATGTTTTATCTCACCGCACGCCGCCAACAGTTGTTAGGTCGACTGGGCCACACTATGGCCCGAGAGGCTGCGACGCTTCTCCAATCATCCATCTCGGCGTGCGCTTACTCGTCAGATTCCTGTCATTAATAACTCGATAAATATTGCGATTCTTGCAAAATTGTATTTTACTTTTCTTTTCAGCTTAACTCAATTTACCTTCACTTCGGGTTGGCAGTTAATTACTGAACACCCTGTATAGACTGCCTCACCTAAGCTGTTTATAACTGTGTTATAAACTGTTTTCTCGAAAACTATTAAAAATAATGATAATATTTTATGTTGTGTTTTAATGTTCGTTAGGCTCTTTTATATATAAATAATTTAGATAGAAGATATATTATTAAATCTTTAGAGGGATAGAAAAAGGAGACACCTTGATTTTTTAAATGAAATGATATACAAATGTTTATATTTTCGAATAACTTGGTTGAATGTTGATATATATTTAAAACATTTTTTCTGTTTTTATAACTTGGAAATTATAATACTTTAAAGATAGAAATGAAAGAAATTAAATTCCATGTGTTATGAATAATTGAGTTATAACATAAATTCGTAGCGTTATTTAATAAATGGCGTTGAAACGTATTGTTGATATGTACAGGAAATAAAACCATTAATATGATAATTCCAATATATTTAATGTCAATTCTCGTGAATATAGTACAAAAATAAGTATCGAAACGAGAACAGAATGGAAAAGAAAAGATAAAAGGTGCCTTTTCAAAATTGAAAATAACCTATTCGATTAACAACGAAGCAAGGGATACAGATAGATATTCCTCTTCAATTTAAATAGGTTTGAAATATATTCTAACTTAGACCAAAGGACACATACCCAATCAAAATCTTAAGTAGTAAAACATTTCTTTGAAAAAAGTCGGAATTTTTCTTTCGGAGCATTCATAAAAAATATAAAAGATAGAAAAAAACTTTTCCAATAAAAATTTAATAATTTGACAAATATTTTATATTAGGTCATCCGAAAAGTTCTGAGAATTTTTGAAGCTCTAAAACAAAATTTATCGACGCAATTCCACCAATAATTAATCTATTATGTATTGTCCATTTTGATCCATCACTTTTTGCCATCTTTCGAGCAAAGAGAAAATTCCGCGCTCGTAGACTTAGGTTTTCCCTCGAAGAATGCAGGCTCCTTGGAATTTCTTTTTAAGAACGCATCGCACGTGTCAACGCGAGCGAGGAGGTTGCGTTCAGTCAATATATGAGGAAGCCAGATATCGAGATTCATATAACCTATACGTTTTGGAGCGTATTTTTGGGAACGTTTGGGATCTTGTGAGAGTTCCAATACACTTCTGCGAGGATTTTCATCCACTGCTTGCTTCAGCCGGTCCTTGAGTGGTGTGAAAGGTCTTCCAGACCGTGGGACATCTTCGTGCTCGAAATTGCCATTATGAAATCGCGCGAACTATCGGCTTACTGTTTGATTTGACACAGCATTCTTCTCATAAATGTTACAAATTTTACGGGTAATTTTCACCGTGGTGTTTCTTTTCCGAAAATAGGAAAACATAACGTGGCTTAAATGAAGCTTTTGGCTGTCCATTTTCGCGATCACGCCATCCAATGTTGCTTGCTTTGTTTGTCCTGCATTTGAAAGAGCAAAGCGCAAAGCGCCATCTGTTAAACGAGCCCTCACTTATAGGACCAGAGCACAGACTTCTGCATAACGCATAATACACAACGCATAAGAGAATCAATCAATCAATCAAAGTTCTTCAGTTTTTATCTTGAGGAGGGAAATGAAGAAAACTAATTGGTTTATTCTCTTATGTATTATGTGTTATGCAAAAGCCTGTGCTCTTACCCATAAGCTTTGACCTACACACTGCCAAACAAACCGATCCCAAATGCGATAGATGGCGGGAATTCTCACAACTCTTCGGATGACCTAATAAAAGAATAAAAAAAATATACTTAAAATTTTAACACTAAAAAAATAAAAACGCCGTTATATAACCGTTATATAACTGTTCCACCACTTACCAATTCTTTTATAATCCAAAAATTTTGTTTCTGCCAGATGAAAAGATATTTTATGCCGAATTCAAAATGAAGGGCCCAGACATAATTGGCGTTATATTAAAGAAAGAATTGATAAATATCTGACAATAAATAAACATTTTTAATAATTAATAAAAAACTTTATAACTAATAAAACACAGAATTTAATATTTTTTGTCTCTATTTTTAAGTAATTAGAATTTCCAGACTATGCAAAATAGAAGGAAATTATTTAAATCTTGTCAAAATTCAAGCAAGCTATTTGAAAATATAAATATTTGCGCACAATTAAAAAAAAAGGTTAAATGATCTCTTCCCTAAGATCTAAAGATCTCTATTTCCTAATGGTTTACTATCAGTATCTTTTTTATTATGTAAAAGAGCTTAACGAATATTAACTCTTATCGGACGTCAAATTCTCAGACCTGAGTTGCCGCTAGATCGTCATTTGGCCGATGTTCTCGCGAATATGCAATATTTAATGTTTTTCGAGTTCTCAAATAAACACTTGAAAGCATATCCTTCGATATGACAAATGTCCGCAACGGTAAAAGATATAATGTCACGTGAAAGGTGACATAGTTCCGATAAGGGTTAAAACACTAAAACATAACAAATTTTATCATTATTTTTAATAATTTCCAAAAAACAATTTATAACATTTTAAATCTTGCATCTAAGTTGCATATTCTAAGTATCTGGTAGCAAATAGGTCATTAGTTTTCTGCAGTACGGTTAATTTTTAGATACTTTTTAGATTCATTCCAAAGATGTAAACAAATTTCAACAGGCGTACTGGAATCTCTTGAAAACAAACATAAATGGATTGAAAAAATTGAAGAAGACAAAATCGGCGAAGCCGAAAGTTCACTGACTTAACAAGGTTGATGTATCATCGTCTTACGCTAACTCTGTATAGCATTTATTTGCTTCTTTATTATTAAGATCTTTGTACTGTATTTGTGATGTATTTATCGATGCTTATTTACTATGTAAGCTGATGTGAAAGACATGTTTCGTGCAGCATTTTACACTTGTATAGACTGATGTACAAAAAGTTAATAGTGTTATAAAAATATACATGCATATACTGCAATATATACGTACATTTATAAATTTGTGCAATAATAATAAAACAATAAGAACTTTGTGCGATCAACTAAAATTTAAAATTATTTGCAGTTGGGAGAGGGGTAAGATATTTAGAAAATTATCTAAATATTATTTATGTAAAATTTCTTTGTTTTATTAATTTTAGATATATAGTATTATTTTTCAATAATATATATTTGATAAAATTATAAATTTACTTTAAATCAATTAGAAAAATGTTAAAATTAGAATTTATCTAGCTTTGCGAAAAAATATATAATGTATACAGGGTGTCTCATAACAAATGTTGCAGGGCTCGTGGAGACATAGAGCGGGTTAAGACAAACATAAAAGTCCCATACCGTTTTGTGAGATTCGCAATAATTATCGAATTATTAATGACAGAAATCTGACAAGTGAGCACGCGCCGAAATGGATTAGAAATGATTAGAGAAGCATCGTAGCCTCTCGGGCCACAGCGCGGCCTAGTCGACCTAGCAACTGTTGACAGCGTGCGGCGAGATGTACAGGTTGCATGAAAAGTTCGCGGAGCGAAACTGAAATAAAGAATACCAAATTCTAAAAATGATTTTATTCTTCAATATAGTCTCCATTAACTTCAATGCACTTGGCCCAATGGCTCTCCAATAATTTTATTCCATCGCGGAAGTGTATTTCTGGAAGGTCTGCGAAATATGCCTCTACGGCTGCTATACAGGGTTTTTCAATTGGTGCGGGTCGATGTTGGCAGCCTGTGGCGGCTATGTTGTTTTGGCGGCGTCTGTCTAACCTGTTGTTTATTATTCAGTGACTGATGCCAAATCACCATGACAAGTTACACGATTGAGCAGCACGTCCAAATGATAAAACTTTATTATCAAAATGAGTGTTCGTTAGTGCAAACGTTGCGCGCGTTGCGCCCATTTTACGGCAGACGCGGTGGTCCTTCAAAGTCGACTCTTCAACGTTTAGTGGCCAAATTCGAGACGACCGATTCGGTAAACGATCAGCCAACACCCATACGTCAAAGGAACGCCAGATCGGCCGAGAACATCGCCGCTGTAAGTGAAAGTGTGCAGGAGAACCCGAGGCAGTCAATTCCTCGCCGTGCACAAGAACTCGGGCTTTCGCAGACTTCAACTTGGAGAATTTTGCGTCGGGACTTGGGCCTGCACCCGTACAAGATCCAACTGGCCCAGGAGCTCAAAGTTAATGACCATAGACAACGCCGTTTGTTCGTTGACTGGGCTTCGGAGCATTTGGAAGAGGACCCCAATTTTGGCCGAAAAATCATCTTTAGCGACGAGGCGCATTTCTGGATGAATGGCTATGTTAACAAGCATAATTGCCGTATATGGCACGACGCCAACCCACACGAAGTTCAACAGGTAGCAATGCATCCACAAAAAGTTACTGTTTGGTGCGGATTTTGGGCCGGCGGCGTCATTGGTCCGTACTTTTTCGAAAACGACGTTGGTGAGGCCATCACCGTCAATGGCGAGCGCTACAGAACGATGATAACCAATTTCTTTTGGCCCAAATTGAACGATATGGACGTGGACGACATGTGGTTCCAGCAGGACGGCGCTACGTGCCACACAGCGGACGCCACGATGGACATTCTGCATGAACGATTTGAGAGTATGGTTATCTCTCGCAGAGGTGACGTGAATTGGCCACCAAGATCGTGCGATTTGACCCCGCTAGACTTTTTCTTGTGGGGTTTTCTGAAGTCGCAGGTCTATGCCAATAAGCCGCAATCGACCGATGCCCTTAAAGTCAACATAACCCAGGTCATCGCTCAAATTCAGCCGGATCTATGTGGCAGAATCATTGAAAATTGGACCACTCGGATCCGTGCCACCGTGAGAAGCCGCGGCGGACGATGTTATATTCCACACATAATAGCATACATGGGCCTTTCAAATAAAAAAGAATTTCGTTAATACCTCACACACAGCTTGTTTTATTCCATTGCAACATCGACCCGCCCTTATTGAAAAATCCTTTAACTTCTTCATTCGACAAAAAATGCTTTCCACGGAGGAATTGTTTCAGGTTTCGGAACAGATAGAAGTCGCTGGGTGCCAAATCTGGCGAATACGGTGGATGATCAAGCAATTTGTAGTTCAATTCATTGAATTTAGACATTGACAAAACACTTGTGTGAGCAGGTGCGTTGTCTTGGTGAAAAATGATTTGTTTATGCTGCAAACCAGGTATTTTCTCACGAATTTTTGCGTCCAATTGATCCAAAAGGTTACAATAATATTCAGAGTTAATTGTTTTACCTTTTTCCAGATAGTCAATTAACAAAATCTCTTTAGCATCCCAAAAAACTGATGCCAAGATCTTTTTTGCCGATCTTTCATGCTTTGTTTGCTTTGGAGCTGAACATCCAGCTTTAGTCCACTGTAAACGTTCCTGTTTCAATTTAGGATCATGATGATAGATCCAAGTCTCGTCCATGGTTATAAAACGACGCACAAAATCGGTTTTATTCTTCTTAAAACGATCCAAATGACGCTAAGAAATTTGCTTTCGAACGAGTTTTTGTTGAATTGTTAACGTATGCGGCATCACTTTTCCAAACTCCTTTTTCATTTGTAATTCTTTATGCAAAATATGCCGTACCCGTTCATCTGAAATGCCTATGGTATGAGCAATTTCACGCATAATCACACTTGGATCTTCAGAAACAATAACATGTATTTGTTCAATGATTTCTGGTGTTGATGCGCTTTTTGGACGTCCACTGCATGGATCATCTTCAATGCTTGTATGACCACGTTGAAACTCAAGTGCCCATTTACAAACCATTGTTTTTGAAGGAACAGATTCCCCTAACACATTTACCATCTCGGAATGAATTTCCATTGCCTTTAAACCTTTTCTAACAAAGAACTCAATCACTGTATGCTGTTTCAAATTTTCCATTGCAAACAAATATACTGACACGTCAACTTCAATTGGCTTGTAAACATAGAAAGAATTGACAGATGGAAATAAAACCTAACCTAGGTTCATGTGAAGAGTGATTCTATATAACCGATTACAATTTATAATTCTACCGTTTACTTATAGATGCCGCTCCGCGAACTTTTCACGCAACCTGTAGGTGCTGTGAAATAAAACATGAATAACGGTGCGTTGTCTTTCTCTTCGCCGCGCACCGACAACAGTTGCTGGGCCGGACTCTTATCGAAATGGCTGCACACTTCTCCAATCATCTATGTCGGCGCGCTCCCACTCCTCAAATTTTTATCATTAATAACTTAATAATTATTGTGAGTCTCGCAAAATGGTATGATACTTTTGTTTTTCTTAAACCGCTCTATCTCTCCACGAGCTCTGCAACATTAGTTATGAGACACCCTGTATATGTGTGTGCATGCGTACGCGTATTTGTGCGTGCGTGCATGCGTGCGCAATTCAAAAAGTTCGGGGATTGAACTTTTTCGGACGCACTAATAATGCCATCTATATTTCAATGGAGGAATTAGTTAATATAAAGCTTTATGAATCTCCGACATTTTTCGCCATCTAATCAGCAATTTATATGCACTATGTATTTCAACCTTATATGATTTATTGGTTTGTCACGATTTCAGACATAAAAAGAGAGCAGCGATAAAGTTATATTTCAAATGTGGGAAAAGTGCGTCGGAAATATTCGCAATGATGCAAAATGCATACCGAGAGGATTAATGCATATGGAGGAGGATAAATGCATACGGAGATTAATCATAATAAGGTGTTTAACCCTTTAAGTTTTGAACAGACAATTTTTGATGGCTTTTTTCAGCGGTTTTCTTTTCTACAAAACCGGTCTTGTAAAAAATCCAGACCAATTATTTCTGACATAAAATTGTCTGAATTTCCAGAACCTGTTATCAGAATTAAAAAAAAATGCGATCCGAAAAAGTTGCTTATTTGTTTAAAAAGAAAATGGACCTTCATTCAAATATTTTTTCTATCGATATTTCTGCATCGAAATCGGATGATATCTCTGGGGAGTGAAAATCTTGCGTCCATAACCCTAAACTTCAAAATATGTAGGTGAGTATTTAAAAATTCAAGATTGCGACATCCAATATGGCGGCTCAGAACCAAAAATTTTATGCTATTTTCGATTCTTCCGAGCATAATTTTTTTATGAATTTTTCATGAAAATTGAAATCTTTTGCATCGCTGATTATAAATCTGTTATCAGATTTCCCGAATCCAAAATGACGAACCAAACATGGCGAGCGAAAATTCCCAAAAATTTCCAATTTTTATAAAAATTGTTATGCAGGGACTTTTTGGATCGTTAATTACGATTCTATCATCAAATTTCCAAAATGCAAAATGATGGATATACTAGGTGCGCAACTAAGTTTCCGGGTTTTTTTGATCAATGAAAAATGGAAAATTTCAAGAGAAATACAAAAAATGGTTTATTCAAAGTATCGTCCCTCGCTAGCTACACATTTTTGCCATCTCTCTGGCAATACATGAATACTGCGACAATAAAACGACGCGTCTTTGGACCGAAACCATTCATCCAACCAATTTTGCACTTCTTCGAAATTGGCTAAGTGTTGCCCAGCCAAGCCATGCGCCATCGACCGGAACAAATGATAATCAGAAGGGGCCAGGTCTGGCGAATATAGCGGGTGCGGTAGCAGATCCCATTTCAGCGTTTTGATGGTGTCCTGGACGATGAAAGTGCGATGGCACGGAGCGTTGTCGTGCTACAATATCACTCGTTCGCGTCTCGTGTCCCATTCTGGCCGTTTTTCGAGCAATGCATGGTTCAGATTGATCAGTTGTTGTCGGTAGCGATGCCCATTGACAATTTCGCCCGGCTTCTTTTCAGCAGCTCATAGTATACGATTCTTTTCTGATCCCACCAAACGCAGAGCATTGACTTCTTTCCGAAGCGATTTGGCCGTGCCGTCGATGTTGGTGCTTCGCCAGGTGAAAGCCACGATTTTTTGCGTTTGGGATTCGAAATATATC